CATTTAGCAATGCCGAGTATACTCGCAATACACAGAGTATGTGTAATACGACCTTAGGTTGTAATGTAATAACTTGAGAAAATAACAAACGCACATACTAGAATACGTTATTACGGCAAACACGCATTAATAATTCAAAAACTTTATGAGGAAGTCCGAAAAGGACGGATGGACTGCTAATGGCGTATATGTTCGTCATAATATAAAAGTTTTTAATTTTCTCATGACATATACATTCGTTATATTCAGTTAACTGGTTAAAGGTTTTAGGTGACGATTGTTGTAAGGAATGATTTCGATCAAAAAATCAATTTTTTGAGCCATGTAATGAAGGATTTTGCTTGCAAAATATTTTGAGTCTCAATAGAATAGAATATGCTTAGAGAAGCTGAAACTTTTACGCTTCTTTTTTATTAATTTTTTACCTATCATTAATTTGTTAAATAATTTGCAAACAAAACGGAGTTCTGAAAAGACGGAATATGACGACAAATTCGTGCGTGGATACGGGAAATTTTCTAAAAAGGTAAAATATGAGAAATTCTGACCTGTATTACCTGAATATTCTTCGGTATGTGGTATATTTAGTGTTCGAAAAAGACATTTTATAATTTTAAATAACATTGACAGATGACAGTTTAAGCAACAGGACATCGAACTATATTTGATAAAGGAGTGCAAGTTAAGAAAGTTGTCATAATAACCCGATGTTATCTAATTACTCGTCTATGTAAAACATGGTAACATGAAGATATGTTAGAAGCAACAAAAGAAAGGAAAACATCTTAGGACTTAGGACTTCCGTTTAATAGTTTGAATATACCTCGCAAGAGAAGCTTGCGCGTATAAGGAGCGCATAAAAAAGGGCAAACGTAGAAAACCCGTGTTTTCATATCCGTTTCCTGAAGAATACTTTGATTTCAATTCGATTTACCTACGATTAAGCTTTTGAAGTAAAGAATCACTTTTTGAAATTAGCTCAATAGCTAAGATTACTAACAAGTATTTCTTTTAAAAAATATATATATAATGACATTTATGGCATATATCAATTAAACCAATCAAAATTTGTAAAACAACTTTCTAATGCTTTGCATAATATTCCAGTGAAGAAGGTGCTTAATGATTGTTTTATAGTCTTTCCCATTCAATTGAAAGACAAGAAACATGTACATGAAAAATTAAAAATTTCAAAGTCCAACCATCTTATCGCAAATCTAAATAACTAGCAAAACATAATATGTTGAGATATCTACTTTTAAGACTAATTATTAATATGAAAGCAAAGGGTTAACAATTTTTTAATTTTGTTTTAGTAACAAATATAGATAAATACATTGAATTTATATTGATAAGAAAATAATAACAGAAGCGGACAAATCGAAGTGTTACGATAAAGTGAATTAGATTCATTTACAGGCTTCGCTCGCTTAGCGCGGTTAATTCATAGCGTGTTGTATTGAAACCGTGTTATACGAAAGTTTTTTATTCATTTATTGAAACTAAGATATCATACAGAATAATATAATGTAATCTAAGCTTAGATATAACAATGATCAAGGAAGCATGTACCGTTTTGTGGCATTGAAACCGTGTTAAGCAAGGGATGCTTGTATTTCAAAGTTTATGCTAAACAAGAACTTGTTTTTTCAAATTTTCCGTGAGTCATAAATTTCCCCACCTCCTTAATTGTGAGTGTACGTTTCTGAACTGATCGCTTAATGCAATTTTTAAAGTTCTTTCTATATTATCGTTTCTAAGCAAAGCCCGTCTTAAATGCAAATAAAATCTAATTTTTAGTATTTTATAGCAAACATAGATGATGAACAGGATCCTTTTGTCAAAATGAGTGAATAACTGTATATAGGAAATGGTGTAGGTTATCTAATAGTCAGCCTTGCCCGATCATAATGTTATTATTTCCTTTTTATTATTTATACTGTAACGGTATTAACAAAAATAATAATAAGCATGCAAGGAGACCGCTAAGTATTACAAAAGCAATTATTATCCATAACGTTTGCTTTAATTTGGTAGTGTGTACGCATTAAAAAAAATGAAATTTACATAAAAGAGTTAAAGTAAAGAAAAAAGATGAAATTTCAAATATTTTAACTAGGGATTGTATTTGCCAACATTGTGCTATATCTGGGAAAACGTAATGATTTTTTCTCATAAAAAAGTGCAAAAAGGCACGATTCGCTAAGGAATGCCACTCTAAGTAAATATTTTACAATAAAAGTATATTCACTTAAAAATAATTTCACTAAGTTATTGTAAGTAACGGAAGAAGGTATGTTCAATTCTTTGTTTTAGTTGTAACCAGTTGAGCTATGCGTTAAACTATACTGCAAAGCTTTGTTGCATTTGATGAGAAGAGAAGAGTTTGTGTCGAGTTGCAATTCGCTTGTCTATAAAATTCTGATGTCCTTAAAGGCCAATATGGAAATCTGACGAATCTCTTTTTAGTTGACAAATTATGTAATCAATTTTCAAAATGTTAGAATTGACCCAAGAATATTCTCTTCATAAATAAAAAGTTCTATTCTGTAACTTTTATAAGAGCAGTCGCTTGAAATTTCGATGCAAATGTCTATCAACTTTGAGTTTGTTTTCAAACATTTTTTTTTGACCAAACATCTTGGCCATAATACGGGTTATATATATATATACAAGATTGCCTAGATATTTAAAAAATGCGATGTAGGGCGAACATAGTTTTATATTTCGACTTAGGATGTCGAAGAATGTTTTATACCATTTATGTCCTTTTTGTCCTTTTTCTCTTATCCTGAAGACAACATAAATGAAAGAAATACAAATTAAATTCAGCGTAAATTCTCGTTTAAACAATCATTTGCGGATTGGTACGCAAAGCAGAAAAGTTGTATTTACCACAGTTTGTTAAGCATACAATAGAGGATCCTGGGTGTCAATTAAAATTTATCAATGAATATCCATAACTGTATTGTTTTATTACAGTTCTGCATTACTGCGTTAGCCTTTTAGCTAAACATTTCTTGTGTAATGAGGATAAAAGTAGTACTTTAGGTAAATAAATTTTTAAATATTGCTTGAAAGGGCGCAAGGTAAACCAAGCATAAATCGTATCCGTCCGCTTATTCTTTCACTGAATAAATTCGAACATTAGCTGCAGCCGGGAGATTCAGAGACATGGACAGACATCCGAGTGACAAGCGGGCTGAAATCGATTCGAAAAATGATTTCCGCAGATACAATAAAAAATGATTCTATCATAAATGGTTCTAGGTGTTACAAAAATGCGCATATACTTCTATATTCTATTGTGTTACAAAGGTGCAGACATAGCGTATAAAAACTGAAAAACCCAAATAATAGAAAAATTTATTTTTAATATAACCTAAAACAGGCATATATAATAATAAAGCATTTGTTCATTTACCGCGGCAGGTAATTTTTTTCAGCCAATTTTTCAACTTATATTTAATTTTCGAACGCTTACTTGGTGTGTGTGCGTTTTCTGGGAAATACCACTAATCTTTTTCTTTCTTCGGATTAATTTTAACGCGAATTACTTAGTTTCAGGCAAATTTTGTAGTTTGGGAAAATACATCCTTGCTAGAATTTTCTGTTTACTATATATATGGAAGGGCTCACTCCACCTCCGTAGTTAGTATTGAATTTAAATTCATCGAACGAAGACGTGACATTTTCTCTATACAACGAAAAATAAAAATTTTTCTGCAAAGCTATTTAGTTTTAAAATAAATTCAAAGAACGATCAATTCATTTATAGTGAAACGAAGCGTACGAGAAAATATTCAAAGGCGATTAGAAATTAACAAAATGTCGAATATGTAAGTGATAAATATTGATTTCTATTTAGCCTAAACATAATCCTTTGCTTTGTTTAAGTCTTTTATCCTCACAAAGATTATCGCTTTCGTCAAGTCAGTTACATTTTTGCATTTATTCATAACCGTAGGAAATTTTCGTTAATAATTTATTTTTTAATAATTAAAACAATCGGGTTTATACTTTATCTATGTTTAGATCAATATTTTTGCAAATTTTTTTAGGTTCCATTCACTTACCTTTATTTAAAATTTTTTATAATAATTTTTATTTATTAATTTTTTTTTTTTCTTTGGTGATAACTTTAGAGCATTTGTAGGAAATTGTTCATTGTTCTAATCTGAAGAAAATTATTGATGAAGAAGTAAAGTAAACTTTGAAGATGGATTAGTCATGTTAGTCCTTCCGTTTAAATATATATTCAAGAGAGTAAAATTAGATGACAACATCACCAAAAAAAAATCTATCGAAAATTCAATTCAAACAAAAGAAAGAAAATTCATTATAACCTCTTCAATCTATACAATCTCGGGGAAATTTTATTTACGCCCTTTCGTTCAAATTATTATTTCGCTAAAACGCAGTAGAAATGGTCCGTTTACATTATCTTTTCTTTTCTTTTGTTGTGTTTTGCTTCAAAACGCGAAAGGTGCAGTTTCAACGGCAACTTACGAAGGTCGCTATAGGTAAGCAATTAATACTAGCGTGCTATTGCTTTGCCTGGAAGGGAAATTTATAACGCTTTACGTAAAGTGTTTTTAGTGTTTCACTTGAAATTGTTGTGTTGTATTGTTCACACTTCATTGGATTCTGACCTTCGTGGTCAGCATTAGGTGTTGAGTCAATTTCTTTAGCTTATTTGATCTTAAAGCATTTTGGTTGATGCTTGCCTGGAATATGAGTGACTACCTAAGATCTCTTAGATCTGTTTTCAGTTAGAAAGTTAAGACGATGTGATGATCAGCTTTACTTTCACTTTTTTAGGGAAAAATTTAAAAGTTAAAAATTATTGTTAGTGAAGTGTTTAGTTTATTAATTCTTAATCGTAACCGTTTATAACATTAATTGACTTTTTTTATGACATTTCCAATACTTTTACGTTGTACTGTTTACGTAGACTCGGTAACTTTGACAGTGAACTCAGCAACAATGGAAATAGAACGATGCCCGCTGTTGAAGTGTTCAGAAATTCGACTTATTGCGACTTGCTTGAAACATCGCTGGGCCAAATTCATCCCTATCAGCAGCATAATTGTTTTATACTGAACGCAGAGGGCGAAAGTGTACATATATGCCGGACGTTGCTAAAGGTTGTTTCACCTTATTTTGCAAGCATTCGTAACTGTAAGTGACCTTAGAGAACCGTTAAACAACGAAACAGTAATGTTCTCATTTTTTTTTTTTTTTTTGTTGTTCTTAATCATTTAGCTGACATAAAAGGCGAGTTAGAAGAATTAATTAAATTGAGAAAAATTGACATATGTACGCTAAAAGAACTCACCTGTTACATGCGTAGTGGGATGATTAGAATTTCCAAAGACAATGTGCAATCACTTCTCGCAATGTCGGAGAGATTTCAAATGGATTGGATTAAGGATAAATGTTGTCGATTTCTCAAACAGCATTTTAACCACACAAACTGTTTTAGTATACGGAGACTTGCTGGTAGGTTTAAATTAAACTAAACTTGTGAAATTTTTGGATATAATATAAAAAAATTTCCATATATTTTTTGATTTTTTAGAAACGCATTCATGTAAAGAATTGTATAACTACTCTTACAATTATATTCTAAGAAGATTTGAGAAATTGACGAGTAGTCAAGATTTTCTTTCATTATCCTTAGACGAAGTAAGTAAATCCGAGGAAATCAATTTCAATTTTTGGTATTGATACATTGATTCAATCATTAAGACTAAACCATTTTTCTTTGACATTTTTACAGATTGAAAAACTTATACAAGACGAAGATTTGTGTGTAAAATCGGAAAAAAGCGTACTTCAAGCTGTAATGAACTGGATAAAGTACAGCCCGGAAAAACGGAATATTCACTTAGGTAGATTAATGAATTGTGTTCGTTTAGATTCAATCGATATGCAATTCATAATCGATTACGTTATTAATGAGCCTCTTATCACAAACGATCCGTTTTGCATGAAATTGGTTCTTGAGACTTTAAAGTACAGTTTAGCAAATGATCCGAAGACAAAAAGGCCGCGATCCAAATCTCGCAACGGAACAAAATATTTGCGATTTGTTAAAGGACTGACGGGGGAATAAATTAAGTAAGTTTGATATATAGCCTCTTACTTTCTTTATTCTTCCTGTCCGTGCAATACAAAGGTGGGATTGTGCTTCGGCGGATTTTCAATTGGAGAAGTTTTTCCAGGACTTGGAACTATAATTGATAATACGCTAAGCCTTTGATATCGTTCAAAATTTTTTAAAGATTGTAAATTGAACTCGAATTTTGCTAAAGACATTTATTAGCAACCTCAACCAGTTCTCTTAAATAATTCCCATCAGGCTATAGTTGGATTTGAAAGCATTGTTCGCTTAGATTAAAAGAAATTGAGATATTTTTCTAAAGACCACATGAAGCCGTACAGATGTAAAATGATGTAAACTTTGATTTTTTTCTCGTGCAGTAATCCTTTTAACAAATGCTTCAAAGTATCGGTATGTTGGCAGCAGCCGGTCACCGTGGTGTGCTTTACTTAAAAAAACGTATTTATTTAAAAGAAAACTCCACTCTATTACGCGCTAATCTATATGAAAATTCAATAGTCAAACCAATGTAAAGATTGAAAGTTTTTCTATCGATATCTAAAGAAAATTTTATATTTAACGAATTAGTTATGTGGATTAGTTCGCCAAATTGGTCCTCCTAGAGTTCTCAATAATAAGAATTATTGATTGTTTAATGTCTAACAATGAAATACAAAATAATATGAATTCCCAACAATTTGTTAAACGATGTACTTGTCTTTCAAATACGTCGGTTGTTTGCTTTCTTGTCGTTGTATGCCGCATTTTCGCCGAAAGCTCAGAGATGTCGTCTAGCAGTAATTTCGTTTGTTGCAAATATAGTTTTTCATGGTTAAGTTAAAAAACATTGTCATTCCATTCTTTGATTTTTTGCTTTACGAATTAAATATTTCTTGCGCAACAACAATCCACATAACGTTGTTTATGAATATAATTATATATGAATAATATAACATATACAGAGAAAGCCACCTGCATTGGTGTTAAGCACATGTTGCACCGAAGGTTGGTGCCCAGATCACATGTTTCTCTTGTATTTGCTTTCTATAGAGATCGTGTCTACGATTACTGGGGATGGTTTAAGTTATATACAGACTTTAAATATTTGCATTAATATAGTTTTATGCGTAAAAGACAGACATTTATAAAAACAAAGGGATTTCGAAAAAAAAAAATCAAAATTTCAAAAGTGAAATCTGAGAATTTGTTCAATTCGCTCAGCTTACTTTTGTTGAGCCAGAAATTATATCCAAAAAAGTTACAAATTCAAGAGAAGTGCTAAACGTCAAAGGAAACTTTTTAGATTGACAGGGCACTGAGTAGATATAATTTTTATTTTATGCGCCAATATATTGTTACGAAATTCTTTTCGTTTCGTATCACTACATCATGATTTTATTTACAATTAATTTTCTTAAAAGTAGGATTATAGTTCACTTGTTTTGATAGCATTGTTAACTTGAGCTTGCTTTTAAACACAAATGTTCTTTTCCTACTAACTCATTCTGCTTACACAAGCTAGTTACCATAATTGATGTGTTTTCCTCTAGTCTAGACGTACCACGTCTTTGTAATTGATTTTTCAATGCAATGATCAATAATAATTCTGGTGTCTCTGACTAGGGACGGATCTTGCGCTGTAATATTATTTTATAACTAACAGAACAAGCAAAGGGAATAAACACAGTTCATGCTAGATGTGGAAGTCCAAGTGTATTAACATAGTCAGTGCCTTTGCTCAAATCTAGCAACTATAACGTTTATGTTTATTATTTTGTCTGCAATAGTTTGCGGATATCCAAGGTGTGTATGGGCTTAGAGTCTTTCGCTGTAGGTTATTCCTTGGTTAGAGAATTCGCAGACATCTTTTATGTGCCAGTGTACTGGATATCTATTTTCCCTTCTTTACACTGCGTTCCTCATAAAATGTTGTCTTGTAACGGCATTATTTTGTCCTGCTGTGAAAGATTGCGGTCAGTTTCAATGATTTCCTTTAAGGAACTTGCAAAGTGTAAGGCTTCCTTGGCAGAGTCAGAAAAGGCTCATATATGCCTCTTCTGCACTTGGCAAAGTTACTATATTTTTGTTTTTGTTTCCTGCATTTTCAACAAAATGTCGCCTCACTGTAGTAAGACTAGCGATCGTCTACACTGTCCGCCCCGTCTGCGCCGGTGAACCCGTCGAGTAGTTTTTTGGATTTGACAAATACGAGACTTGTGTGGTGCGTTTGTTTTAAATATCTAAGGACTCGTTTTGTCATTGTCCACTGTTGTTCTCCGCGTACTATGTGACTTGTATTGACTTTATGCATTTACTTCGTGGGCTACATCCGGTCTTGTTGGTGTACCTAAGTTCATTAGAGAACCAATTCAATTTTCGTATTGCATTTTGTTATCATTGGTTTTTAGATAAGTAATTTGGTCAACTTTATAGCTATGTTTATGGTGTTGCCAAACTGAAATTCGCTAAGCTGGTGGATTTGTATTTCGATTGCCAAACCTATGTTTCCAATTTGTCAGAATTCCAGTCTTTATGTCTTTAAACCTGACAATCCGCTCACCTTTGTGCTTTGCACAAAGAAACCTATGTCTAACAAATATACGTGGCGTATACGTAACTAAAGGAAGAAACGAATTTGAATCTATTAAAAGCCAATTTAAATTCATTTTTCTCCGTTAATATCGGAGTAATTTTTCGAAATTTGCTAAAAAGTAATTCTGAAAAGTTGAATTCAGATTTCTTTAGATTATTTCAAAAGCATTTTCCCTTAACGATTTGCGTGGTATATATATGTCGGTGGAGTTGTCTGGTGTACGATGCATCATTGTGCGATGACCAACTGCTGTTAACAAACTGGGAGTTTGAGGCACTTATTAAAAGAACTTTACGAAAGGCGTGGTTGCTTGCTCCATTTGAGGGGTCATTTAATACGTTTTCACGACTGCGCTCCCAAATTCAACCATAGCTTGCTGACTTTTCAAATAAGCTATGGTTAGACCTTTTACAGATCTCTGTTAAGATAGTTAGTAAATGTCTTTGCTAATTAAATGCGAGCTTAGCAGACACCTACCATACTTAACTTTTGTTTGTATTCAATTTGTTTATCGCACGTGGAGAAGATAGTCATTTAGTTACCATAAAAAAAACACTACATATATATATATATATATATATAGATTTTAAATATGGAATATATTATATACATGTGTTATTATAAGAATACTGCGTGCATAGAGACATTTACGTATTACATGGTATTTTTTTATATTTTTATTTAATTTAATTTATTTTTACAATTTTGATTTTGTGAATTCGTTTTAAGAAAATCCCTGTATGTGCATATAAACGAAATAAAAAGTTTTTTTTTTCAATTTCCATTGATTACATTATTTGTTGCAATTATTTACAATCAATTTTGCCTAATTTCCTTTTTTAAGTTGATCCTTGCAAATGTTTTAAATGTACCACCGTCGAATTTGTTGATTCGTATATCCATTGTTGTGAGTCCAGATAACAATCAATAATTTTTGGAAGAACTGAGACCGGCAATCGGCGAAAAGTTAAGGTCTCGAAATTTTCTTTATATATTAAGGCATACTAATGGCATTGACGGCACGTTCTGTTGTCAATGTATAATTAAATGCTAAAAAGCCAAATAAAAATAAAGTATATTTCCTAAGCCTAAAGAGATGTCAAGACTAAAAAGCAGGTCGCGCCAGAAAGATTACATGGAAGCTTGAAAAGAAGTAAGAGTATGAATTAAATCAAATGTCGTTGCATTTGGTTAGAAACTGAGCGCACGAAATGGATGAAAGACGAAGTTAGAAATCCTACAGATTTATTATCTTAACTCGGAAATATTCCATGTTTATCACACAGATAACAAGTCGAAATAAACATGCGGAAGTATACTTGGCACAGTGTTTAGCGCCCTTCTTCTAAATATGACAAGAATAAGAATTAAAAAAGTGATTTTTTGCCCTCGTATACATGGATCGTTTAGTGAGAGTCCCATGCCGCTCACAACGCGATATTGATCGCTTAAGATTAAAACTACAGAGTACGTCATTTCGATTCTCTTCATTTCGATCTTAAGAAAAATGATTATATCGATGAAAATACGAAAAAATTGTCGGGGGTTTATTGTGCTTGTTACCAAGACCACAAGCATTTTCTAACTGTGGATTTTTAATCGTGAAAGTAATGTTTGTCTCAAATTTCAGCTTCTGATTTCCGTATTTGTGGTTATGGGTGTTTCCACAAAAAAATAAATACACGCGAAATGGCGGTAGTTCCAGTGTTAAGGGCTAATATTTGAAATTCCTCTTTTACCAGTAAGGGTCTCGATCTTCAGCCAGCATGATTTCAATTTTGTCTTCTATTCTGTATTTCTTACCTTTCGCTACAGTTACCTAAATTATCAGTGAGTTTTTTCTTTGTTTAAGCAAAAATATTTTCTAGGGGAATTTTACTAAACGGTTTCAATTTTTTTTATTCTTGTTATTTTTAAATTAAAGCTATGAGTATTTAGTGACAACTCCTGGCGCTGAAGAGCCATTGTTTTTAGCCGTTAAATTTTCATTACAATTGTTATTGTGACCTATTAGCAGCGGACGTCTTGGCGGCATACGTTCATTGACAGCATCTAAACCTTTGGCTTCAGCAAACGACGTTATTTGCTGCGTAGCACCTAAGCCTTTTAAAGCTAATGGAAGGGATTCAGAAAAAAAAAAAAAGAAAAGATAGAGTAAGCTGCGGTTATAAGTTCTAATAATGAAAATTAAACACTTACCATTACGTAATGAATCCTTGCCACCTGCTAGAGTACCAGCCGGTAAAGAACCAGTAGGTGTAAGACCTTTTAATTGCAAAACCGATTCGGATTCCTCTCTATGATAGAAGAAATATGAAAAAATGCAATATTCTTTGAACAAAAATGATGAGAATTATTCTTATATACCTTAATACCGAAAATACTCTCGACATTTTACCAATTGCTCGTATTTTATTGCGTATGATTTCCTTGCGTAAGGCCGACACAGACGAAGCTGAAATATTTGGAATTTTTTTTTTTTTAATTTTAAAGTTTTTTTTAAATGGATTTACATTTCGCATTTAAAACAATTTTTTTTTTTATTTTTATTATTGCAAAAGCTACTAAAAAGCTTTTGTGCGCAATGTGATTTACTCTTAATGCCGGTGCTGTATTACATACGTCATAAGCTTTTTGAAATTTATATTAAAATTTTTTCAAGTAAAAGCTTTAAAAAAAAAACAACACAATGTTAAATGAACTACAGAAAGTTAAAAGTGTACACTGGAAGAAAATTTTATTTTACATTGCATTTCTACATGAGAATTTTTTATGGTTGCAGCGAAAGCGATGATGAACATAAGATTTTTTTCTCTTTTTTTTTTTTTTTTTAAATTTTTAAGGAAATTCCCTCTTTCTTCGCAAGCTATCTAAGAATAGGTAATCACTCAAAAGCTATTTCTTACTCCATTCTTCTTTTGGCTCTTGTAAAGAAATTATAGCGAACGTAGTAGAACAAGCCCAGGCAAATTGACAATCTCACGCATACATATGGTATGCATCTACGACGTACATATGTAAACACCCCTTTGCATATGTGTACGGACTAATGTATATATAGATATGTAGGTATAAATGTGTGCACACATGAGGTATTATTTTAAATCAATCACCCAATAAAACAATTCTTTCGCGAGCTGTGAGGCGGTGGCGTTTATGCCGAAAACATCGTTCACATCCATCGACCGCAAATTTCAAGCGGAAAAAGTCAGTCAACATTGTTCGGTAAAGCCTTCATCTAATATAATGGTTGAACTATCAGCATTTTACAGTAAGTAAACTGGATCGTTATGGTTGACGAGGTCGTTCGAGTATTTCTCTTGAAGTTTCGGAGCGTCGAATGAAACAGCTTTACCTCCTTACATGACCCTAGTAGATAAAAACAAATAAAAGCATGATAGGTACATACGCAAGGGTTAACACAATTTTTCATTCAGGCTAACCGATCCAAATTTTTCACATCAATTTAGTATAGCGAAATATTGGGAATATTCAAGGAATTTGAACGAGAACTTTTTATAGCGTTTCGGTAATAGGCCTCAAGGAGAACAGAGTCAAAAATGCTTAAAAGGAAAATCATCTTAAAACACAAACTTTTTGATTTTGAACTAACGAGACTTGATAACATTTATTTATTACACATGAAGCAGATTTTAATAGGTAAGCGATACTATCTATTAATACAATTACGTACGCATATAAATAGCAAGTCAGGCACTATTTAAACATTGATTGCATTGATTACATAAGTAGTAAGTTAATCTTACCTTTCTTTGGAGGGTTACTGTTACTGTTACTGTTATTATTATTACTCATTGGTACAAGAACGATTTTCTTACGAAGTTCTGTATGAAAAATGTTTACAATAACATGCAACAGCAAAATATTATAAATGCAATGAAAAAAATATAATATTGGAAAAAGAAAAGTAAGAAATATAAAGAAGAAATTTTAAGTAAAAGTAAATGCCGCCTATACACATAATACGATATATAGAAGATATATAGTTTCTCCAACATCCAGTAATTACCACAACATTGATGACCACGTATTTACTATTAAGATAGAGTTATGACTCTGATTGAAGGCGATGTAAATGTTATGTGTCTCAAATATAGTTAAACATATTTTTTTTTATTCAAAGTTTAGAAAAAACATTAAAAATTTAATAATATTTCTAACATACCTTCTTCCAAATCATCATCGGCACCGCCAACCAATTCTTCGTCGGAGCAAATATTTAAGATGTTAACCAACATTTCGGTGACCTAAAAAAATACAAAGCAACACCAAATAAAAAATTGCTCTTCTTCAGTTATTAGTTTGCTTCGTTTCACCTTTTCGCCCACAAACGGCAACGACCACGAAAAGACATCCATAAAATTTGGCAACCAGTATGGATGAGGCGAACAATTAAATTGTCGTATATTCATAACGTTATTCTCATATTTAAGAACAGCTGCCTTTGTTAAAAATAGACAAAGATACTTTCATTTAGACTTAAATAAAAAACTATTACTAGTTTTTAGATGAACTTTTCAACTCGCATCGCCTCAAGTAAAGACGCAGCAATAGAAGAACTTCTTAATTGTAGTCAACTCATCTTGACTAATAAAAGTATAAATTATGCAAGCTTTTGCAAGGAAGATTGATATTCTTTGTGGTTTACAAGTTCTAAACAAGTAAAAACATGGCTCGCATTTCGCTTAGTGTAGTCAGAGATAGGGAAATGGTCGAAAACATGGTCCGATCCCAATCATTTTTAATAGCGTTCTCCGTTGGGCCATTTACAACATGTACAGCGTACCAAGTCTCATCAACGTATCTCAAAAATTGTCACCTGTGGGCTGAGCACAAGAACGTGACAGGCAGATGGACAGGCAAACCGTATGAGCTTAGATCGACAATAAACGGGGGATCTACCTCAATTCTCTTTGATTGTTGTATACATCCACACAAACTTAATATACCCTTTTTATCACAAGGCATATAGAGTATATGGTTTTTTGTTGTTGTTCTTGTTAGCTTTAAAGAATTTTCTAGGGGAGAAAAATTGTTGTTTACCTATCATTTGGTAAGTTTCAGTTTCTAGCAGGAATTGTGCGCCCGTGCGAACCGGACAGACGGACATACGGTACTCATCAGAGCAGTTTGTGGTCAAGTGAAGACAAAAATTGATTCTCCCTCGAATATGTGGATGTAAAAATTGTCTTTAAAATTTACATACTTTGTTGTTGTAGACATCCAAATAATTAGGAGCCGAAAATATGGTTATTAATGAAGGAAATCCGGTAACCTGATTTTTGCGGTACATTCGGTAGCTAAAAGGAGATGAAAAATTCGAAAATCATTTAACTATAAATTACATTTTACAACATACCCAGCGTCTTGAGCCTCGTGGGCCCTTACCACCGATAAAAGATTATTTTTTTGTAGGAACTCACAACAGGCTAAATAACTGTATATTAAAATCACTATTATATTCATGATTCTTTCGTTTGTTTCAAACTTCTTCGTTACTCACCTAAAGAAGTATGAACAACCACGTATCGAATTATGGGTAAAAAAATCATTATTCTTCTCATTACCGAATTCCTCCAAAGGATCGGACCACAATATATCACACATGGGTCCAAAAGCAGGTGGTTCACGAAATCTGTTTAACTAGGCAAAAATAAATTTTATTAATTTTTGATGCCTTTTTTTTTTGTTGTTTTTTTTTTTTAAAAGGAAAACTCTTTCAGTTTTTCTTCTATACTTTTTTTATATCATCGAGTGTGAATATTTCCGGAGATAGTCCTCCATGTATGCAAAGAAATTGTTGATTTAATAAAGCGGCCAAGGGTAGACAATCGAAAGCTTCCATACAGGCATCATATATTCGTTCCGAATATTTGATTTGACCTAAATTATTCAAATAGAAACGTGAGAAAAGACGTAAGAAAGGAAACAAGAATAACCAAGTAAACTGTAATCGGTCTGTCAGTTTCTGATCTACATAGATTCTTGGACGAAGGAACGGCTGAAAGGTCTTAGCACATTTCTTTATGTGAATGCGTAGCCGTCTGCAGGCTTGGATACTACCAAGGAATGGGCCGGAATTCGTAAGAATCTTTAAGCTTAGTATACATTAGATCTTCTAGGGCACGCTGTGCTATGCCCAAATCGTAATACAATGCAATCCGAGGTATATTCGCCTTTGAGACAGATCTTGGATATTATATATGTAAAATGCCTTATATTACTTCTTCTAAGTAATGATTTGCTCGAGCGGACTGACATTCTCCTGAATTTTCTTAAAGTTTACAGAAAAGCATTCCATAAATGTTAAGTCGACATTCAGCGTAGGTTAAATATTTTTGAGGGCTAAAGTTGTTGGCATCGGATGCAAGAACTTATGAGTCCGAGTTTCGGGTTTCTAATGAAATGCAAACTTATTTAAAATTTTCGACTAATCGCAATTATATATAATTAATGGTATCTTTGAGCTCTAAAGACGTTAGCATAACCTTTTCTTTATGTGGACATGGAAACAACTATACTTGGCAAATGCATTTCCTTTCACACTTACATTCCAGTTTAAACGTAAAATACTCGGTGAGGTGACGACACTCGTGATTACCACGCAATAAAAACAGTGTGTTTGGATAGCAAATTTTCAGCGACCATAAATACAAAACGCACTGTAATGATAAACATTCAGATATATACATAAATACATATTAGAAAGTAAGACGCTATAGATGTAAAGTTTTTACCTCAATACTAAAATATCCTCGGTCTACGTAATCACCGAGAAATAGGTAGCGAGTTGAACCTGGCGGACCACCGACCTCAAAGAGTTTTACCAAATCGAAAAATTGTCCATGTATATCACCGCATACTGTAATTGGTGCTTCAACATCGATCATATTTTTCTCCGCTCGCAATATGGCAGCACCCTCGCTAATAATACGCAAGGCTGGTTCCTCTTCAATGCGTCCCTCCAATATAAAATGTTCACGTAGAGTGTTATAATTCGGTTTATTTGTTTTTGTATCAAACACTTCGGTCATCGTGAGCTTGTGAGACGGTGGCAAAGGCACCTCTAATAGGGGTCGCAGATGGAGAAAGCAAATGCATAAAGTTGAAAATTATTTCTTTCATTAATAAAACTAGAAAAATGATTAAAGTCAATGAAATGTGAACAAGAAATAAACTGAAAATTTTATGAGTTTATTAAATTGTTACAGTCCGTTCCACATGACTTTTTGTTTTTGTTTCATACTACCAATAGGATCAACGAAGCTTGGAGGAAATATAATCAACAAAAACACAAACACTATGGTAAATTCTTTTTAAGCTTCGGGTCTACCTACGATGGAATTTTAATGATTGGATATTGCAGATGTTCTATCCTTTCCTAACTAAATGGTTATGAATCACTTTTCGAGTTGAATTTTTTAAAATACATTTAAATTACGTTTTTTTTATTTCCTTTTATTATGTTATTTTGTATATTTGGATTGTTTAATCACAGCACAGAAACAAAAGCTTCCCAAACATTAGCCTAAATATTTTTTAATAGCCCTAAAGGGTACGGCATTTAAATGCCATATGACATGTGTAAGAGCAAATGTGCTAAATTTGCTTAAAGAGAACGAAGCTCGGCGAGAAGGTTGTAAACGGTAAAGGGGTTAGTTCATTTTCTTTCCTTAACTTAGCCGGGTCAGTTTAATTAACTTTTTTTCCTTAGTTATCCTTTTAGTTTTCAAGGAATGTAAGTAAGAAATGACGAAAGAAGTTATCTCTTCGTATTTAAGAAGCATTAAATGGCTTGCAACCGTGCACACGTCAAGTCAGTACAATTCCTTCTCACATCCACTGCGAGAAGATGGAAACATTTCGATTTTCCCATTGCGCTGCAATCCTCAAAACATAACAATAGAGACAGTTACCTCATAAACTGAATGCGTACTTTTTACTTAGCGGGGATATTATGTCGGCTATGCGTCTGTCACAAGAATTTATATGCCTGCCTTACCCTGAAACATATAGTTCTTTGTTATATTCTATAAATTAGATTAATTTTATGATATAAAAACAATTTATATATCAATCAATCAATCAATCAATCAATCAATCAATCAATCGATCAATCAATTATAAAGTTATAAATAACTTGCAATACGGGAGGATGGATGAGCAGTCTAAGTACAATAAGTTACCGAGACAAACAAGTTTTTGTTTCGACTAAATAGATAAGAATTCATTTAATCTCCTGAGAACTGTTTTGGTTACTGCACGTGTTATTAACCCGCTGTTTAATAGCCCTAAGATGGAGTGAGAGTGCAGTCATTTGAATTTAGCTTAGGAATTTAAACAAGCGAATAGTGTTAAGGCGACAGGTGAAAAAGTATGCAGTGTGTACAATGAAAGTCAACAGCGAACTGAGTTCTGGCTTTGAGGAAAGCTTTTTGAAGACAGTACTGAAACAAAATCCATGTCAATCAATCAATCAGTCAAGGGATATGACAAGAAACTTGAGCAGGAGGAATGGAAGATTTTGCGTGAATGCAATGGCTTAGAGATTCGCTTGCAGCTTGGGTCTGCACTGGTCCTGTCTCTGTGCTAGCTGTGTATACCTGCTTTTTCTCTTTTTTTTTGTTTTTAGTTATTTATCTATTAATTTTTTTATTACCAGCAGGGATTTAATAATATTTATTTTGTCCGTCGGAGAGTGCACAACTTTAATACTTGTATAGATGCATTGGTAAAATGTGTAACGTAGACCTTAGACCTTACTTCCTTGAAAAACTATAAGGGGTTGAATAAAATTGAATAAAATTTCTAGTAAAATTATTTGCTTTTCGTCACAAAGCATGCGAAATTTTAGATCATTCTTTGCGGACCACGCACTAATTTCGCGAACCATATTACATTTGGAAGAAATATCGACAGTGGCATGCGAATAAAACATGTTTAAGAAACAGGATGCTTCGGTTCTGGGCGGATTAGACTGATGAATGAAGGTCTTCTTGTTTATGTTTCTATTTAGGAATACTCAAGAAATTTTTGTTTTTTTTTTTAAATATACTTGATATTCATTTAGAATTAGGAAAATTGTGCTTTGTCTAGCCATCGTTCATTTTTTTTATAATGCAATACAATCAAAAAGAAGAAAGTTGACTTTGACTGACAAGCACATGCGTATAATAATGAAAACAAAACTTAAATTGACACGTTACAGTCAAGGCAAGGCCGATTATTAAATAACCTTCGCCTGATACAGCACTTGTTAAAGAGTATTAAATATTATACCTCTCTTATTGCCTATAGATATTTAAGAAGAGCTATTGATTTATTGTTTGGTTCTAAAATTTCCCTTTACTTTAGAACGAAATTTTTCAGTTTTGATTGACTCCAACAATAATATGGGAAATTATCGTCTTTGGTTTAATGTCTTAGGTCTGACGATGATAATGACAAACATTCAAAAACTTAGCTATACAATATAATATTAGAACCTTACATTGCCACTTAAAGGCTTACTTTTCATGGGACCTCTTATATTGAGAGAATAAACCCATCTACTCTATCGCTATTTCTGGCTACTAGATGTCCTAGTCCTGGCTGCCATATAAAAGCTAATAGGAACGTGTATATGGGAGAAGGCTGAAAAAATCGAATCCACATTTTTTTCGTTCATTTATTATTTCAAAATACAATTCTTCACTAACTTTTGTCCACTAACTTTCTAAACGAAGGTATTATAGTATGTGGAATACTCGCGCAAAAGATTCAATAGCTTTCCATTTAGTTGAGGCAAAGTATGTCAGCGTACCAAATTTCATTAAAATTCGATTTAAGAATTGCGAGACGCAAGCTTGAATACAACTTGCATAGGCAGACATAACTTGTACGGACGGACAGATATGCGTAAATCGTTTCAGAAAGTGATTGATCGGTAAAAGTCGGTGAGTCTAATTAAAGCTTTTTAAGATGCTTAACGCGTCCTTACAAACTGTATATACCTTTCTCACAAGTGCTGTGGAGCACAATAAAACAAAACAATTTTACAAAAATTGCCAGAAATCATATGTGTATTTACACAAAAATCAATAAATAGAATGTTTTAATGTACTTAGCTGCGACACTGTAGAAAAAGATTGATTAACCCAACTGGTAGCTAAGGCAAACGAAGTGAATATCAAAAAAAAATGAAAAATGACTGAAGGACAACGGTTTCGTTGTGCGGTAGCAATGAGAGGGTGTGGAATATTTTATTATACATATTTTTCAAGGCATTGGATGCAGTGGCAGTTTGTAGTAACAGAATCTGTACAATAGTTCCAATATCTTGGCTATGTTTATTGAACACGTCGCGCTGGTAAATCGCACGTGCTTCACATGTTAAACAATGTGGCATTAAATGTTATATATTTTTTAATTGATACCATAGCAAGCAATCGCGCGTAATTCTAAGGAGGGATGAATGCCATAGGCAGCAAATATGGTATTCTTATGGACATATTCGTTATTGTCGGCGTTGATGCGAATTTCATTATTAACTTGAAGTCGAAGATTTTAGCTAATTTAAGTGATACGCAGATATCGAACTCTCATTATTCAATACCTTACCTATCCGTATAGATTGAGCTAAAGATGAGTTCCGATATTTCGTTAAGTAAACAAGCAGGGAAATAATTTATCTATGTTTGTATTACTAGAGTGCGATTTGGAGTCGAAAAACTATATAAATCAAATCAATTGTTAACATAGATATACAATTTGCCAACAACATTGGTTATTATATTACGAAGATAATAGTACTGTCAGCCAGACCACAACATCTTGACTACTACTAGCGTTCTAAAGAACGAACATCGATATTTTGCATTACATCTTAACTTTGTATTTGCCTAACGAAGTTTAATTATTTAATTTAATTTTATATTCGCCTGCTGGGATTGTGATTCTCTCACTCTATCCGCAAGTATTCGCAGTCGACATTTTATTTTAAATCTATTTTGATTAGTCAGTTTATGCTATGAAGTTATTTATTATTTTAATCTCTCTCTCTCTCTCTTTTCCTCTCTCTCCCTCTCTCTCTCTCTCTCTCTCTCTCTCTCTATTCACAATTAATTTTCTATTTTCTGTCAGTATATCTGTGTGTATGCGCGATAATTTATAGACTTTATAAAAGATCATATCGTATGCTTTTGCATCCAAGAGATTGTCTGTCTATTAATCAAATCACTAACCTACATCAATCGCCTTCAAGACAGTAACGAATTCTGCCTCTGTCACTCAATCGCTTATCGATCCGATCAGTCGCTTGAATTCGCTTAAAATTTTAGTATCTCATGATGATACATTGCATAGCATTTGTTTAATTCGATTTTTGCACACATAAATGCAAAAGCAAGAAGAAAACAAGAAAAGAAAAGATTATTTTTAAATCACTTGTTGATATTTGAAAACTATTGAAGTGTACATCTCTGATATACAACATTATGTCTATTTTAAAGTCTATCGGCATGTCTGCCAACTGAAATATATATATTTAGATAAAATACATATAAATGTGTATGCAATTTGTGTGTGTGTGTGTGTGTGTGTAAGGGAAGCCTCTACATAGGCAATAAAACTTTTGGCAATGATTTTATATAAGAAGAGTAAACAATTTTCTTCTTTTTTTTTTGCTTATTTTCTCTTTTTGTACGAAAAAAATATTGGCCATGATTTACAGTAAAATTATGTGCTTTGCTCTGTTTTGTTTTGCTTTGCGTTGCTTTGCATTGTTTTGGAGAAAAGCAAAAAATATGTTTAATTTGTTTTGTCTTGTTTACCATCAATAATGCGTTCCTTCGTCTTTGCATATTTACAACGAGCCTTATTTCCTAACGTGGTCGTATTTACAGGATCGGTAGACGAGTTGTTTGCAGTAATTTGTTTGTTTGACGACATTGAAAATATTTTATTTATTTATTTTTTTTTTTTGAGAAATTCTTTTTTATTATTGTCTTTTTAAAAAGTATCACAAAATAAAATTAAATTGTTTTATTTTTATATATATATTTATAGCGTCTACGAAAGGCTACAAATATTAACATTAAAATTATTACATCGTTTGTAAAAATTAGAAACCTTAAGAATTCGGCTCGCACTATATATGATAGGTTTGTTTATTTGCTTGTTTGTTGCTTGAATCAAAATTAGTGGAAAACTATTGCCGTGACCTCTGCGCTTGTTGTTGACATAAGCGATGTCCTCTGCTTATAAACATAACCACATACAAACACTAAACCGAAATTCTAATATCTCATTACATTTTTATGGACACAAGGTTGTGCTTAAATGTTTACTAATATCTTTAAAATGACAAATGGCAAATGGCATATGTTATCGTACAAGGATCGTTCGAAAACACATTGCGTTGTTTAATTTATTAATTGATGAATGTCCCCTAAACACGCGGGTGGGTGCGGCCGTGATCTCGAAAGATTCTATAATATATAGGGAGAGAGGAACAGAGGGAGTACTATTTATTTGTGCATGTTCGACTTGCAAATGGAAACGTTTGGACGGTTATTCAAAAGATGAGCGGTAGGGTTGAAAAGCAGTCACTCGTAATGGGCAGTGAGCCGGGCGGAGTTTGGGAAAGCTGAGAAAGCCAAGAAGTCCTGTTGAAGGACTTGATTGATAAACAAATATCTTCTTTCTCTTTGGAACATCTGACGTGCATACAGATATGAACAAGCACAATACAGTCAACATTAGGTCGATACTCATAAGCATCGCCCATGACTTTCCGGAACTTTCACTGTGCACGGTTTGAGAACCCCTGGCGAGATGTAGATTCTTCGGAGTTCACACCTATGAATTATATTCTAAGTTTGAAAGGGCGTAGGCCGTGCAAATGGTGCGGATGTTCTTTACACTGCCTTCAAAAAATCCCTGATACTTGAATACACAGCAAATCAAGAGCTGCCGATACTTCCCACGTTGTTACCACCAAAGAGGAGGGATTGCCCATTATTTTTCTTGTAGGCTAAAAGTCAGTATTTAGTTTTGTCCACGTTACAATTTACCCTATTTGCCTGAACCCCATTCAGATATTTTTCTGAGGTTTCTATTAAGTGTAACTCGTCGTATAGAAAGAGACGAGTTATTGCTTCCTGTAAATGAGTAAATAGGGTTTACCGTTACGCACAAGAAGAGAGAAGGAGAACCGGCACATAAGAAGCTCGACAATTTACATTTTCTAATCGTAGGTCGCGACCGGGATAAATTCGTGTTTAGAAAGGGTATGATTTATCATTGTGCCCTGAATATTTATAACCTTCACCTAACATTTTTTTATTTTTCCTCAAACGAAATGAATCATTACCCGATTTAAAGAAAAAAGGAAATTTTCAGTCAATAGCTACTAAAGGAATTCAAAGAACAAAGTCTTACAAGAGCTGAACTTATATCAGACGATAGAAGACTACATCGAAAAGATCGTTGTTAGATAGGTATATTAGAACGGTTCAATAATCGCGACATTAAACGCCGCAGACTGCACTATAATTTTGTGTGTCTGAAATTGTTTAAATTTACTGTTTCTTATACTAAATCATTTACGACGTCGCATATCCGTTAACATCCATCTATTATAGTTTTTCCATGAAAAGTAATAAACGCTGCGCATAAGCGCCTAACGTTTTCAATAATTTGTAGTCTGTCTGCAAAAGGTATCTGTTTTTTTATTTATCGGTTTTCTCGTTGCGCGCTCTTCTAATTGATATAAACTGAGCTATTTTGAAAATGTAATTTTCCCACTCACTTTTACTTTTTCTAAATTTCTAATGCTTTAATAGAGAAATGCGCATAAAGTGGGCGGTAGAACGCATCGTTGAAATTTTATAACAATTTTTGATAAAAATTCATCGGATATATAATGCACTTAGAGCATATGGCACTTATGGCGTATAAAGTGCCTACACGCATTTTTGTATTTATTGAGAAAACTTAAATTTCGTAATGCTTGCTTGCTAAAGGCCCGCAAGTGTTATTCGAGAAAATATAATTCACGAAGATGGGACCATTTTTTACTTATTGTGGATACATTTGTTACAACAGATCACGAGATTTTTTATAATTTCGGTTTATGCGGACGATGGTTCTAAAGTGCAATGACGTAGAAGTTGTAACTTGCTGTTCTTAGTTTTTTTTATGACCTTGGAAATTGCAAACGTCAAGTGACGTATAGACGAAAGGACATTCGAAAATCATTAGATTGACTTAGTTCAGACTTTGGCTGGAACGAAACCGTTGAAGCGCATTTCCCTTACAAAGTAAACAATAATCTTATGTATATAATTTGAATTCCGTCCATTGAGGGCAAAGACAATAATTTAAGAAGTATCATCAGCTTTTTCACTTTCTCGCTCACTCGCTTCGCTATGAAATAATTATTTATGAATATTTTAATTTGATTAATGTTTAACAATCAGCTTAATTGTTCTTTTAAATATTGTTTACAAATAATTGTGCCATTATTTTTTATATAAAAGTTTTTTTTTTTTTTTTTTTTTTTTTTAAATATTATTTAAATAATTTTGGCGATCTTTGCACTGGCACTGTAATTACAGAACCTGCAATGGGCCTTTAATTAATTAGTTTTTCACATGCTTCATAAATTGTAAGGAAAAAAAAAAAAGAAATCATTGTCATCACCACATTGCTTTTGTTTCCCGATTTAAGAAAAAATTTTTTTTTTTTTTTTTCGCTTTTGTATAATATTCAGTGATAATTGACAATATATGCCGTTCGTTCACTTCAAGGCAATCGTGGGTGGGCGAAAGCAAAATCTTTTGTAAACTAAATAATAATAATATTTAGGTGGTTTCCGTGAAAAAAAACATTGACACTTCTACATCTATATATGCTTTTGCTTTTGCGCTGAACTTGAACTTGAATTTTTTTTTTTTTTTCGCACTAATAGTTAAGTTTTATTTTCCATTTATTTATTTATTTATTTATTTTTTTGTTTTTGTCTTTTTTTTTTGTCTTATAGCTAAGATATAGAAAAAATTTTGTTTTTTTTTTTTTCTTTTTTGACCGATTTTACACACATTCCGTATATTTTTTAGCTGTACCGTTATGATTTGTAAAAAAAATTTTTCAGACGTAGGAATTCCGTTCGTTCATAAGAGCTGCGTTTCCATTTTTCGTATTAGATAAAATATGCCGCGATCTGCTCGCAACGCTGAACGAATGAATTTCAAATGTTGAGTTTTCTTGCCCTTGAATTGTGATCTTCAGAAAATTTAGATATGCATCTGCATTGGCTCTAAATGATTTCTTTTTCAGAGAACTAAGCGCATTTCACAGGCGCAGTGAGAGCAAAATTTTTCTTTACTCCCAATTAATTGAAAACCTCTTCGATACTCTTTTTTTTTTTTTTTTTTTTTAAATTTTCTTTTTAAAAATTTTCTTTTTCTTGTTTAATCAATTCAAAATGCTCAGAATACAATATCTAAGAGGAGGGCTATGTACGTGCGTGCATATGTATGTTCGGATAAATGATTTAAAATTTTCATAAATTTAAAAAAGTTTTTTTTTTCGTCAACTGGTTAGTAAATATTTATATATATATGTGCGATGTGTTTTTATTTATTTGTTTTTTATTTTTTATTTATTTTTTTTTCTTCCTTTTCTGCTCAATGAATACTTTTTTGCTGTGTAGGTGTTTAGTTCATCAAAATTTTTGATTACCGATCCGTGTGTTTTTGTCATTTGGTCTCATTTAATCATCGGCTATACTATACCATATATTTTCTATGTAATCGTGGAAGGTTATTATTTATTATTATTATTTTTTTTTTTATATAGCTATGTGTGTTTGCAACATATTATTAAATAATAATGTCTTTTTCGTGCGGCAATTTTAATGATTGCAACAAAACTGTACTGGCTTTGGAAATGATTATTAAGCACATTACCAGATCGATCGCAATAATTTTAATATATAACAAATATTTGTGCCAAATTTTAAATTGACGTCGACTGACTGACTATACAGCATAAGTTACTGAACAAAAAACGTATGCTGAACTGAAATATCATGCAACTGATTTGTTACTGATTTGAGGCTAAATATGAAGATGGTAAGCAAGAGCGTAATGGTTTTGTTTTTATTTCTTTCTTACCCACTTTTTGTAGTACTAAAAAATCGACCACTAGATAGATAGTTTAAAAGACGGATGGACAAACAGAGAAATCGACGCATAATCATACACAATATCTTTTGTTCGTGAGTTGTTGGCTGCGTCTTTTTCCTAGAAACAGGATAACCGTTTACTGATGGAGGGGAAAACCAAAAAAAAAAAAAAAAAAAAATCTTAGGTTGAATGTTGTTATTATTATTGTTATTGCTACTATTATTAAGTTTTTACATTGCTCAGTTCAAAGCTGGGAATTCACCTATCCCCGGATCTATTATGACAAAAGGTTGGACTCAACTGCTTTCTAATTTTTTCTTTTGATACTTTTATGATTAGTTATTACTATTATTATTATTTTTGTTATTATTTTTTTTTTATTATTATATTAAAAAACGTTTTGAATCATAAATCAGTTATAAATTCTAATATTTTTTTGATTCATGTGTTCACAGTGCGATTTTTCATATAATCTCGGAATATCATCTTTTACTATTCCATCACATGCACATAGCCATGATCATATCATGCTCTCAGTCGTCGGCTCAACATTTCTCAGATATATAAAATATAACTGATTGGTCTATGTGACTTCCAATAAGAGGCAGCTTGTTGAGAAAAGACGCGAC